AAGCTGGCCAGCAAAAAGCATGGACGTGAGCAGTGAAACAGAAAACAGACATTAAATGATGGTGCTCCAATGTTGCCTGGCAATTCAGCAAGAAACATAACCTGAATCGTTGTAATTAATTTGTCAAAATTCAACCTTTTTCTTTCGAGGCTATTGCCCTTACAAGGTCTCAAGTTGGCTCATCCCTTTGTGTTTTAAGATATCACAGAGATATGAGAATGACAGCTCTCTTAAATTCAGAATGCAGTTTCCATTCTGAATCCAGTTTTATAATCAGTATCCTGCATCAGGATTGGGCTGTGTTTTTATTGCACTGTTTAAGCTTTTCCTTGGAGTTACTCTTTTTACCTACTTTGGAATAAAATTGGTAATTCAGGGGAGAAATAGACTATTAAATATTTCAGAAAATGTCCTCACTTCAACCTGAAATTTAGTAATTTGAATCATGTGTCAGGTTGCAATTTGTAGGGAAATACTGAGAATTATCAGAAAAAAAACATTTAAAAGTTTATTATTTTTAATATCACCCTTTTTTATTTGTTTATATGTTTGTTTTCCATAGCTTTGAAACAGTTCTCATCTTGCTCATAATTCAGAAACGACTGTGTGCTAATTTTTCATTTTAAAGATAAATGTTTCCTCACAGAAAGCTTGTTCCCATTTCTTGTTTTATCCTGGAATCTCCCGTATCTTTCATTCATTTGCAATACAGATTTGGGGTTTTGGTTTCTGTTGTTGTTGCTATTTTCTTTCTTTCTCATTTGGAAAATGATCATCTCTGCACACTCCCCAGGGATAGTTAGTCCCTGGACCTGGGGGCTTGGAGCAGGTTTCATTTCCACAGTGCTGGGAGTTACTGTTGCAGTCTGACCATATTTCATATGGAGGCTCTTGGTTGGCTGTGAGAAAAGAAGGATCAGTTTGGGCTTACATGAGGATGTCTGGGTGTAAGCTGACAGCGTCTGAGAAAGCAGCTCAGTCTTTGCAAGTGGTATCAATTGGGCTGTCAGAAAATGGTGATCTGTTATTTAAATAACTGTATATTCCTTGAGTCTCCCCATGGTGATGTAGCAATTCTGTGGTTTCTGAAAACATCGGGCAGCATTGTTAATGTCACCAAATGGCTGTGAAAGGATGTGACATACCAGCAAAGGTGCAGTGCTTTTGCTGCTGGGAGATGGCGTCTTCCTTGGAGTTCAAAGTTTGAGGACATTTCCTAAAAAAAATCATAGAATTATTAAGTTGGAAAAGACCTCTCAGATCACCCAGTCCAACTGTAAACCCACCCCCACCATGCCCAGTAACCATGTCCCTCAGTGCCACATGCACATGGTTCTTGAACACCTCCAGGGATGGAGACACCACTATTGACAAAGCTGGTGCATTGTCTCCATGGAGATTAGGTGTTTTTATTCCATTTGTTCCAAGTAGTGATGTCTGAGGGGATAAAAATTGTGTCAAAAATAGTGTGCTTTAAAAAAAGAAAAAAGAAAAGAGAGAGCCTAAAACTTTAGGCTTTTTATGTGATTGCTTTCAGCCTAACCTGAGACTACATAACTCCTTGGACTTTGTAAGAGATTAAAATCCAGTCCCAGGTATTTCAGGTAAGGTTATTGCTTTGCTCCCAGGCTGTCCCCTGAGCCAGCTGTGTCTATTTCTAATTAAGGACTGAAGGAAGCGGTTCCTTCTGATGTCAGGAATAGCGTGATGAGGCTGCGAGCACTTCTGGCAGTGCTGGGAAGAGGTCAGTGCTGGGGGAGGCAGCAGCCACCCTTCCTGTCCATCAAGTGGGAGCCACAGCCACAGAGGGGGTTACCATAAAGGTGGCCTTCCCAATGACATCGCAGCAGCTTGACATTTGTTATTTGTGCCTCCTCTGAGGAGTTCAGCAACCCACTGACATTCTGATCTGTAGAACACCTGAGAATGGCATTTATTCAGAGTATCCTAGGAGAAGCAGGGGAGGTAGACCTACTGTTACTGGGATAAAGGTGCGCTGAAAGTGCTTCAAGCCTCAGACTCTGGTGTTTGGATGCAATTAGCTAGTAGATGTTTCCTTCTCAGTGCATCTCTTGGCAGATCATAGGGCTCGGATAAATCAAAGTGTGTTTTTAAAGCAGTGTGCCAAATGCAGGGTAGTGTGATTTTTATAATACAACATTTATTCATATGTAACTTCTGAAGCTATTTGAACCATCACTCATGCTTCAGTTCACGTCCTTTGAGCATTAATTTGTAAGATGCACAGCATTTTAAAAATAACAATATACCATTTAAAATCTATTTAAATTCATCCTTTTGGAGTTTGACCTCTATAAAACAAATATAAATGACACTGACTTAGAAGAGATGACTTGTATGTTCTTTGGTTACCCAGTCTTGCAAAACTGCTTCCATATTTTGGTTTACCGTATCAAAATTCTTAATTTGTAAATTGATGTCTGAGTGTGCATATAGCATATGCATATCTACGTACACCACACACATATGCACAGATGTTCCAGTGAGAAAAAAATCTCGAGATTCTTTGTGAACTCTACGGAAAAGATGAACACAATGTAAATGATTTAAAAGGTACACGGGCACTTGGGAATGTTTTAAACTACAAATTAAAAAACGAAAGGAAGCTCGAAAGAAAACTATTAAAAAGGATCGTTTTCCATTAAGTGAAGTGTTTGCAGTGAAGACAATTGTAGCAGTTGGCAGTATTCTCCTTGAACCAAAATAAATACATTTGGTGACGTGCGTTCAAGGACATGTGAATCTTACAGCTTTCATGCAAATAAGGAGCAGCTTTGCAAATGCTGGAGATTTTGCCATCTAGCATTACTGAAAGAATGCAGCTCTTGACTTGCTGCTCTTCCTAACTTACTGCTTAGAGGTGGCATATTAGGCATTGTCACACTGTTTTGCTATTTGCATAATCATTATGAATTATTGCAGGCTGTGAGTTGTGGCCAAGAGTGAACATCTCCTTTGGGAAAACGGTTCAGAAATCTGAGAACTTGTGTCTTACATCAAATAGGCCTTCATCAAATAAAAGGGATACTGGAGACTTGTATGTCTCCATCAAATAAAATAATAAAAAGCCTCTCCACTTCAGGAGTATTGCACCACAGCATTTTCAAATTTGTGAGGCGTAGTGAAGAATGTTACACTTGTTTACTTTCAAGAAACTGGGTAGAGATCAGTATTATAATTAGTCTCAGAGAATCTGCCCATCTCTATTTGACTGCAGGCTGCAGTCCAAATGCAAAACATCTGGAAGAGTCAACAGGGGATGGGGAAAGGCAGCCGAGGATGAAGTTATAACTGGATCCCTGCAAGTTCAGGAAAATCCACACAGCAGTGGTTATTCCTGGTGGCAGAAAGCCTACAGCAGACACAGAAGTTGTTAAAAGGACTCTTACCCCAGCTTATAGGAGGGGAGTGTGCTGAGGTGGCATGCAGTACTGACTGGGGATTACTGGCCAAGGAGCAGTGAATGGCAACTACCTAACCTCCTTGGCATCAGCAGTGCACACTATGTGAGCCCTTGGGGTTGTTTTGCTACACCTTTCTTCCTGGAGGAAGAATCCTATGTTCCCCATAAACTCCAGCTCCATCTTTGGCATCTGCCCATAGATGGCTTCTAGAAGGGCTGCCTGATAGCCCACCAGGATCTGGTCTGATGCAGCGAGACCTCGCTGAGAAAGCAGATCTGTCTGGGAAGTTAGCAGCATTAGCAAGCAAACGTAAGGCTTTGTGTTCATTTGGTGACTGCTAAAGCATTGTTTTTAAATCTGCCAGCATCTAACATATCCTATATATTTTCAGCTCTCTCAAGTCTAGAATTAGAATCAGATAGCTGGTGGCCTTTTTGCAGGCTTGCCCGAGGCACACTAGGTAATATCACGTGGGAAGCCAATGCAACATATGTTTTGCTAACCAGGAAGTGGTTAGCAAGGCAACATTTTTTTTTCATTAACACATGGTGCACTTACATGACATTAATATATATTTCTGGTTTACAGATTTACAGTGCCAGAAGAAAGGCATTAGCTGAGCTAGGCAAAATAGGCAACTCGTCCTGAAATAACAAGGAGAGCTGATTGGATGCACTGGATTTCTTTTGATGAGAATAAAATGTACAGGAGGAAATGCCTAAACCTGTGTTGTTTTGAGGAAATTTGGGGAAAGGACTCTGTTTTATGATGTCACACATTGTAGTTGAGCTCTGAAAAAAAAAAAAAGTTATTTTTTTATTTTGTATGTCTATATTGGTGTCTAATTCATTTCTAAAAATTAATACTGTTGTGTAGTACAGTGATTTTATTCCCTCTCAAGCTACACTCCACCAGCCGTATATACACTGTCATGCTAGTATTCATGTATTCGTGCTCTATAGTTGTGATAGTGTCAAATCCATCAGAAAGAGGAATTGTTTCAGCAGTAGTTTCATGACTTAGCTGATTAACAGAGATCAGAAGAAGCAGCCTAACTGTGGAAACCACTACAGCATGTAGTTTTAACAGCTCTTTAGGGAGCTAGTTAATGAAAGAATCACTACAGAAACACATCCATGTAAAAAAAGGAGCATTCTCACACAACACTCAGAGGATATGTCATAAGTGGAAATATGTTCATAATTTCTATTTACTCATAGCTGTAATTACCATCTGCCTGAAGAGTACTTTCAATCTTTGTCAAAGTTGCTTAGATATTTCCTTTGTCACATTTCAAGCAGTGAGGTTCTGTACAGCCTAGATCCTGCTCTGCAATTCCTTTTCTATTCTTCTGCAAGAATTTAATTATCTATTCCCTGTGTGAAGAAAGCATCAGCATTCCCAGAGACCAGAGCCTCCCCGGTCTGCTTGGACTGGCATTCAACTGATTCATGTTCCTGCTTATTTTTTGCCATCTGTCTGCAAACCAGAGTTCTTCACTTTCAAATTCACACTGGTTTATATGCTGCTTGCTAATTTTTAACTCTAAAAATCTATTCCTCTTTTTTGCTGTAGTGTCTACGAGCCGGATAGAAACGTGCTGCGCAGGAAAGAATGGGAAAGGAGAAATCAGGAGGCCCAGCAGGAGGATGGCACATTTAACACCAGTTACTCCCTCTTCAGTGAACCGTATAAGGTAGATGCTTTCCGTCCGGGAGACTTTTTTATTTTAATTATTATTATTATTTTATTTCACAGTATTAAATCGCAGCCTGCAGAAGGTATTGTCCAGGTCTCAACAACCTCCCACAAGTCCCAGCCCCTCAAAATTTGCATAGAACATTTATGGTTCATTGAGAATTGGATTTTTCTTACATTAGCTTCCTATAATGTTCAGCAGCACATGAGAATGAAATAAATGAGAAATGTCCTAACAATATTTGAGATGGCATTAAAACTAGGAGGTGAAGGTGATGGTGCCCTGTTTCTGCAACACACAGGAGAAAGTAATTGTGTTAGAGTTATGTGTGAAGGTCAAGTTATACAGTAAACATCATGCTCTGGCCAAGGTTAATGTGATGAAATACCTTGTTTTTATTTTTTTTTTCCTGTAAGCAGTACCAACAGTATTTGTCTGCTAGGCATGTTGTGCCCTCAGCAAAGGCAGAAGTAATTCAACTCCTTATTTTAATCCTCGTGGAAACAGCAAGGTGAGACACACCATGCCCGCCTCCTGTTGGAAGGATCCAGCAGGATGCTCTGCACATAACTACTGTCTCCAGAAGCCTGCAAACCAAGCCTTTATGGATAGGACCAGAGAGTAGTATCCCACAGAGGGTGCCTCTCTCCTCTAGCTAATCAGTGACTTTGCCTGTGTGCATTAGAACAACATCATGTATCTCCTCCTGTGACCTTCCAGTTATGCCCAAGTTGCTATTAAATCCACCGTACTGTGAAGCCTTTCCCCTCCATGCTGCTTCACTTGTCCTTGATGCTTTGGATACTCAGTGCCTCTTCCCAGAGTCCTATGAGGGACCTGACGTTTGGCTACTGCACCTGACTTCAGTACTTCTGAGCATTTGCTCGTGTCCCAGGGTCACCTTTTAACTTGCTAATCCTTCCAGACTGTTGTTGTTTCTAGTTCCTAATAAAAAAGGAAGATCTACCACCTTCAAACCATGTCCCTTGATAGAAGACAGCTCTGCCTGCCTTGAAGCTGACCTCCAGCTGCCTGAATTTCAGATTCATTACAAAGGCATTTAGAAACCATGGGAAATGTCTTGAAATCTTCCTTAAGGCTCCATTTGAAAAAGTCTACTGTGAGACCAATCAAGGGCTAATGCACGGAAAAAAGCCTGAAACATGTTAGCCGTGTCTTGGCATTTACTGAAGACTCCACTGCAATAGGGACTAATAATTTTCCATTTGGTGGATCCAATCGGATATATTCCTAAGAAAAAAAGGACCTGTTTTTTTTGCTTGGTCTCTGATACTGTTTTGTCTGTGGTATTGAAAGTGGGTATATTGAGGCTTAAATTACTTACAAAAGTGGCATAGCTGGAAAACTGTACGCACTTGGATTATTACCTCTGTCTCAGTGTACTTACTGTCATGCTACAGACTTCATGTATCACGGACTCACCAGTAGCTTCTGATTTATTTATGACATCTGAAGGGATCTTTGCACAACCTCAGAATAACTCCATCTACAGCAGGAATGGATGAAAACTAGTGGATGCAGTCTGTAGAAGCAGTGAAGGTGCGTAGCAGGTATCCCACGAGAAAATCAGAACAGGGACTCCATCCCTGCTTATCACCTGTAAACATCATGGCCATATTTGGACTATCCTTTAGAAAAGGTGTTGGCAAAGGATTTGCCATTCAGAAGGCCATATCTGAAAATCAAAGACAGACTGGAAATCTCTTAAATGGTATGTACTCTTTCTCAAACATCAGATTTCCTGAAAAATCTTGACTCTTTCGGTTGCGCCTTATCCAGTTAATTTCAAAGTATCCATAGCAACCCTCTAGGAAGGATTCCAGGAAATCCACTGTCTTTTATTACTAGAGATGTATTTTGCAGGAGATAAAAAAACAGAATTTCATTCTGGATATTTCATGGACAGAATATTTTGACCCATTAACCACATAGGTGTTTTTCATGGAGAAAAAAATCTGATGGCCTTCCATGCAACCATCTGGCTTATTTTTCAAAGTGCTGGATCTTGCAAGTCTTCAAATGCAGGAATACATCCTACACTGAAGAATGTCAGAGCACTGTAAGTTATAAATGTTTGCACAGAATGCTTTTCCTACTTACTCATTTTGTGATTATGTTTTCCCTATGTGAGTGATTAAATAAAGCCAGCAATATTTCAGAGCAAATAATAGGAAAAGCTTTAACATCTAAAGCTCCCAGCAAGTTACGTCAGGTCCCAGCTGTTTCCCAGGAGAACTCTTCCAGCTGAGCTCAGCCCAGCACAAAATCTTCTCCCCTCAAGATGCCCCAGTGTATCCAGAAGGAACAAACAATACTCACCAGTCACAGCATGTTCCATTGTAAAAGCATTAGATCTTTTTGTTGCAATTATTTTTGTGGTTATCTGGCATTTCTCAATAACAGGCATCTCTGTATCACCTTTGTATCATACCTATAGTCTACTGACTTGTCTGGGCTAGTGACAGTCTATAGATAATCTGCCACTAGGCTTTTATTTACCTCCCATCCAATTAGCAGTCATGAGATAGAACTGACTATCTGTTAGGCAAGTTGGATTTTTTGGGACAAAACTTAAAAATAAATTCTTTTGCATCCATTGATCTAACTGGATAGAGAGCTGCCCCGCAAATGGTCTGTGCTGGAGGAGACTTATGGGTATTAGGGGCCCTGTTCCATTCTGAGGTCCTTGTTGCTGTGCTCCTGGACCTGAGGCACAGGCTGGCTGAGACAGGCTGGGCACAGACCCAAGCGTAGATCTCCTTCCCTAAGGGAAGCTGGAAATGCATCTTTCTTCAAGATAGCTACACAAATTGAATGTCCACTGGAGGGACAGAAGAGATCCACTGGGTAAAAGCAAACTTCTCTATGCCTTCAGAAAATAATAATTCTGGTCAAGAAGATACCTAAGTGTAGTAGCCACAGGCCCCAGGAGATGTATGAATATATCTCCAACCATCTTGAAGATCAATAAGCCCAACTGCAGATAGCCATAAATCTGATCATCCAGATCTCCACTGTCAGCTGTTCAGTTTTTACCACTGTACCAACCAAGCATCCCCATGTAGACTCTTTCTGTGCCTCTTACTCTGCCTGAGTTGAACATGCTTCCTACCCCAGTTAAAGCTGTGAGCTAGGCAACTCATCTGCAACACTTTCTTTTTAGATACGCCTGATGTTTCCCACTTTTGAAGCCTCTTAAGTAATTTCCTCTTCTCTAGGACATCTGTGTGATTCTTGTGAAGTGAAGGAACATTCCCTTCTTAAGCTATGTTGACTGTGAATCAGTGCTTCAATTTTATTGGAATTCTTGAAAAAAAATCCCCACATTTCCAGAGTGATTGATATTCCTACTACATCCTTCACATTTCTGTATATAAGAGGTTATTTTCCAATCCTTTTACTTCCTTCATCTCTAAGCAACTGTTTCCCCTCTAAACAGAGGATCCAGAGATGATAGCTTGGCCTTCTGAAGCATATGAGTGTTTCCCCATTGAGACTCCATATCTGGAAGAGAGAAAGGAGAACACCACTATCTCATTACTATCTTCCTCTAAAAATACAAAACAAAGCACATCACACACCTGATTCTTGATAGGGTTCAGAAAAATCTGTGCTACAGAGATATGATATACTAATGATATACTCCTTTTCTTACAGTGACTTTTTAAAGAAATAATTTTCAACTTTCTTCAGTATTTTTTTTTCCACTTGTTTTATTTCTTTGTGGAGCTTCTTCCTTTTAAACAAGGAATTAAATGGATTATTTCAAAAACAATGATTAATCTTCAAGGGTGGAAATGCTGACTGTGTCTCCACTGCTGCACAATTAAATACTGAGTATTTTCAAGAATTTGGGGAGTTCTACTTACTCGTTTTTCCCAAAGGGAAGAGTGTTCTGGAGTGAACATCCCAACAAAGCACTTTCATCAGAAGGATGTAACGATCTGTAGTTTTCCCACTCTCCCATGAGCTGCCTTCAGGTCATCTTGCAGTATTTGGCTGGCTTAGACCAGAGAGTTCATTCAGTGCTTACACTGGGTCTTGCATGGCTTCCCAGATGCAATGTGAAAACTTGAAGAAGCAGAGAAGGTAATCAGGAATGCAATATTTCCATTCATGGCTGAAGGAGAGCTTGCACTGGGCTATAGGAAAAGTTTTATCATGGTCAGATTTAATCCAAACTGTTCTGTGTAGTTGCAATAATAAATTTTCTAGTTTCCAGGTAATATATTTTAACTACAGCATGATACCAGTGATAGATTTCTTTTTTTATATACTCTAAGGCCCTTTATAGCTTTTCCAGTTCAGGGTAGATTTAAGATGTTGACAAGTATCTTCAGAGACAATAAGGATTTTCGATTTCATCCCTCAACACGGCTGCTGAATAAGAGAGTGCAACTTCAGTAAAGATTTCAGCAGAAGCGTGCAGGGAATTTTGTTTGTCTTAGGTTGACTGTTGTAGAACACTCAATTTTTGTTTTGCAGACTAACAAGGGGGACGAGCTCTCTAATCGCATCCAGAATACACTGGGCAACTATGATGAAATGAAAGATCTGCTAACTGACCGATCAAACCAGAGCCACCTTGTTGGGGTTCCAAAACCTGGGGTTCCTCAGACACCTCTCCCCAAACCCGATGAACTTCTTATCGCCGACTCAAGACCGCCACCTCCTCCTTCCATTTCCAACACTTCTTCCGCACCAGCAGCCCTACCTGCGCAGCAGAGCAAAAGTACCACAATGGGTTGGCAGAAGGCTGGGCACAATGCTGCTTCAGAAGGTCAGCAGAGAGCCAGCAAGCATGGACACCGCTCACTGGAGTCCCATAAGGGTGACTTCAAACTGGCAAACCAAAAATCAAGTCTGGAGAAACTGAAACGCTATGCATCTAGTCCCACCTCCTCCTCCTCCAATGCTGCCCAGCAAAGCTCACTGAGAGCCACACTAGGTGACAGTGTCAGCAGAGTGCAGCAGCCAGCAAAGTTAAATTGTGGCTCAGAAGGAGGAGCTCAAGTGCAAGAGAGACCCTCAAAGCACAGCAGTGGGCACTGTGTCCAGAACTTCCCACCATCTCTTGCTTCGAAGCCCAGCCTGGTTCAGCAGAAACCAACGGCTTATGTAAGGCCAATGGACGGTCAAGACCAGGCCCCTGATGAGTCTCCAAAGCTGAAGTTATTGACTGAGACGACCAAGTTGTACAGGGGAGTGCCTTCTAACAAACCTGATTCGGCCAGGACCAAGTCAAAGATAACGAAGTTCAACATTCCTAAGCAAGAAGAGGTATGTGTTTTGATGCTTTTTATGACATCCTGTCCTGAATAGATGAATAGATCTTAGAACTTGCAGCTTAGAACTGCAAACTGCATCTGTCTCTTTACATATTTTTAATGCCTTAGTTTTTATATTTATTTTTTACCTTGCAAACATTAATATGCAAATAGCAACCACACGGTGATGTAAAGATATCTCAACATCAAAATGTCTTCAGGTCCATAACACCTCCTCAGTGCCACATTTTCTAATAGTATATATTACTTTTTTTTTTTTTTTTTCCTGGATGTCCATATGTAATGTCTGGATATTTTAAATTCATCTTTTAGCTAGGCTTGTGTGTTATGTCACAGTGTTCATACTCAGTTGACTTTCTTCTTTTTCTCGGTGATTAAATGAAGTGCTTGGCATCAGAAGTAGTTCTGCCATCCTCAATGATGTCAAAGTAGCTTTACAATCTAGATAAATTATAGTTAGCAATGTGAGATCTGTGGAATAGATAGAAATGTAGCAATGAGACTGTCATTCATAAAATCTTCTCTTTCAAATCAATTTTCAAACAGACCAAGGTTTTCTTCCTAAATAAACACAGTCTATAAAAATCAGTCTTGCTATAAAGGTGAGAACATATCCAAAAAAACTTCTAGGCAACTTTTCTGTCATTAGCAGTAGATGTGAAAGGTATCTGTTTGGACTTATTTTATGTTTGTTTATTTCACATTCCATTGGCTATATTAGGACACTTTATTTTGTCACTTGTGTATTATGTGATTTTCTGAGTTTTTTGGGTGGGGAGGGAATGGTTGTTTTTGGCAGAATGAAGAATGTTGTTTTTTTTTTTATTATTTCATGGGTGTATTGAGAGACCGTTCACATTTATACAAAGATGGTCACATCTTCTTGTGCAAACTGGCAGAGCTCCCATGGCTTAAACAATTTATAGTATTTATAGGACTGAATGATTTTATTTGACTGAATCAATGATAGCGTCTCAGAGCAGAGATATACTGATTGTTTACTCTTATTTGATGACTGTGGTGTGCCTTGAAATGTTTTTAGTCTTTTTTTAAAAAATTTTCCTGGCACTGCTAAAGGAGAAGAAAACTCTAATTTTTGGTAAAGCTCTCTGGCCTCTTAATGCCTGTTTTTCAGAAATGGAGTTGACTGCTGTATTCCCTCTTCAGTTTGGTTGAGGAAAGAAGTCTCTCTGGAAGCAATTACTTTTCTCAGTTCCTGTAGACATTATGCCCATGTGGTTTTTCTCTAAGTTTAAGTTCCATCAGTTCCAAACCATTCTGAAGAGATATGTTGTTACTGAAAAGGGGTTGTTTTAGGCACTTAAGTCAGATGTGATAAGCAAATTTAGCATTCACAGATTGCTGTAATTGTGCAGATAGATCAGGTAATGGCATATGCTAATATCCATTTAGCTATTATTACCTCCTTCAGACTTCTCACTTGCCACTATCTGCAAGTAAGAAGTATTGTTAGAATTAAAGATGCCTGTGGCAATTGTCTGAATCTTACAAATTTCCCCCTTCACATATATGCAATACCCTAGTGACTAGTTTGGAAAGGGATTTTGATAGGCAATCATTTGTTTGTCTGAAATTCAGACTTTTCCATTTGCATTCCAGATTTTCCTACCTCACTAGGAAAGAAAGCTTTCACTTGTTGTACGTAATCCATGATGATGCGTAAGGTAAATTTATACTGCAGTTTCTAGACAGATAGATGTATTTGAGATTGCTTAAACTAACTTGCTTAGATACTGATAGCGATGTAGGCAATGGTAGCAGAGCATGGACCGCAAGGTAACCGCTACAGTGTTCACCAGCTTCTCACAAGTTTTGTGGGACACAGTATTCTTGAAATAGTATTTGATAACATAAATATTTAGCTGAAGTTAAAGGATGTGGACAAAAAAGCATTGTCTGGTAGGTGAAGAAAAAGAGGTTAAGTGATTATAAAAATGATAGACATACTGCTCAGAGAAATGGTAGATGTTATGGGTGGTGTTGGGATTTGTAACTTGAGCTAATAAAAGACAATGCTTAGATCTCATATTTGAGGGCTGAGAGTACTGACGATAAAAGTACCCAACATTTTTTCCTTTATCTTGATGTTTCCTTTGTTCTAACATTTTCCATTCCAAGTGGCACAGGATGAAAATGGTAACACACTGATATTGCTACAGGGAGAAGTATTGACTGAGACTGAATTTTTTTTGTTGTTGTTGCCTAATCTATTCTCCCTTTAATTTTCAGTAGTACTTATTTTTTTTTCTTCAAAATGCCTTTCCATTCTTCTCATTTTTATCATACATCTTCTGATAAGGTTCTGTAAAAATTTCCATGCATTCTTTGAATTTCTGCTTTCAAACGCATAGAACTCCTCGTTGGCATCAAAAGGTCACTGTCCTTTATTAGGGATATAAATTTTAAGCCACTTTCACCACATAAGCTAGCATAGTCTTCTGAACCTTTGCAGACAAAATGAGGTTTCCCTTGCACAGGATGGGACTAAAGGTGATGGCCAGAAGAAATCAAGTATCCCTAGTGGACATGGAACGGCCAGACGAATAGAGATGAAATACAGGTTGATCATGAGGGAAAACAGACTGACAAATAGGCAAGGACAGTGTCTGGGAAACTATGTGGAAACAGAAATGGATGCCAGATCCTGAGAGAAGTCAGAAAAATAGGGGGAAAAGGAGAGAGACTGAGAATATGGGAATAGGGTATCTGGAGTGCATGTGGTTGAATGAAGCTTGCTGTATGCTAAAATAAAAAGCATATGACTGAAATGGGATAAGTAGGGCAGTTAGTGTGCTCTGTGAGCTTAATGTAGGCATTACCATGAGATCTTTAATAGAATCACAGAATAATCAAATGGCTGATGTTGTAAGTGACCTCTTGAAATTGTCTAGTCCAATCTCCTTGCTCAAGAGGGGTCAACTAGAACAAGCTGCCAATGACCATGTCAGTCTCTACAGCTGGAGACTCCACTAGTTCTCTACAACCTGTGCCCAGGATTAATCACTCTCACAATAAGAAAATGTATTCTTGTGCTCAAATGGGATTTCATGTCTTTTAGTTCATACTCTCCATCTTGTCCTGTCACCGACTACTAATGAGAAGAATCTTCCTCCTTATTCTCTGTTGCCTGACATCGGGTACATATGAGGGCTGCTCTAAAAGTAATGCCTTCTATTATATTATGTTGATGCACAATGCCTGAGGCAGATGTTGGTGGGATGACAGTAGAGGCTGAACCTTCCTGACAATATTGTTGCATTTTGTTGCCATGTACTGGATGGCAGCAGAGGGGCAGTCTGACACAGTCGTGTCTGACACGGAGTTCAGATAAAGCAAAGATGTGGAACTGAATTCTTCCATGTGGAAAAAATGGCACCGTCTGATATTCATTGACTCTTGCTGAATGTTTATGGAAACCAAACAGTGCACGTGAACACAGTGAGGCAGTGGGTGGGGCCATTCAGCAGTGGTGGCAGTGACATGAAAGACAAGCTGTGTTCCACATGGCCATGTACAGTATTTCACACCACAGAATGAAGAGCATCCTGATCAGCTCATCCATGTGAATGGATGGACTATGACTGGGAAACCCTGTGTAGAGATGAACATCATCTTAAATGCATTGGAAACTTACCACAGAGTTTGTGCAAGGTGGGTCCCATGTATACTGACACAGGAACTGAAAGAACACCGTATACAAGTTTATAAGGACTTACTGAACCAATAGATAGCTGAAGATGACAATTTCCTGGATCACATCATTACCAATGATGAGACATAGTGTCACTTCTGAGAGCTGGAGTTAAAACAGTAGTCCATGAAGTGGTGACACGTGAAATCCCCATCGATGAAAAAGCTCAATGCGCAGTCTTCAGTGGGTAAAGTGATGTGCACTATCTTTTGGGATAGGAAAGGGGTGATTCTTCTGGATTTTCTGGAACCCAGACAAGCCATCAACTCTGACTGTTACATTGCAGTGCTAAGCTGAAGGCTCAAACTTACGGAGTCAGGCCAGAGAAGAAGACAGCCTTTTTCTTGCAACTCAGTAATACCAGGTCCCATACCAGTTTGAAGACCATGGAGCACATTGCCAGTCTTGACCAAACTGTCCTATCACATGCAGCATATAGTTTGGAGTTGACAATTTCTAACTTCCAGCTGTTTGGGCCAATGAAAAAGGGGCTGCCTAGGCAACCTTTTCCTGGCAACAGCTCTGCCATAGAAGCTGTGAATCAGTGGGTCACCTCTGCTGGTTTAGATCTTTCTGAGCACAGCATGCAGGCTCTTGTTCATTGCTGATGAAAATGCATAGCTAACAGTGGTGACTATGTTGAAAAATAGTATTTTATAGCTGAGAATTTGCTCTATCAAATAATGTTATTATGCTGTTTGTATCTGTTGGAAATAAATGGGAGGCATTATTTTCAGAGCAACCTACATATTTATACTGATGATTTTTCCCTGCTCCTAGCCCTCTTGAACCTTCTCTTCTCCTCACTGAACAGTTCCAGCTTTCTCAACCACTCCTTGTGTGAGAGATACTCCTCTCCCATTACCATAATTGTGGCCCTGCACTAAATTCACTAAATTCCAGGAAGTCCATACATATCTTTCATGTATTGGCTCCAGCACTTCAGATATGGCCTCAGTGTTCAGCAGGGAGGAAGCATCACCTCCCATACCTTGCAGGCCACAATTTTCCTAATGCAGCTCTGGGTATTGTTGGCCTTTTTTGGGGGGCAGGTGAATGGGTGCATCTGTGGCTCGTGGTCAGCATGATGGCTGTGAGGATCTTCCTCTGTATCAGAATCTTCCACTGTGAGGTTCTCTTCCTCTGTAGAGAAAATTTTCATTTGGTTAGATGACAGCCTATATTGGTGCATGGGATTCCTTTGCAGAGTCAAGATTTTATATTTCTCCTTGATGAACTTCAAACAAATCCCATCAGCCCATTTCTCCAGCCTGCCAATG